CGCAGGACCGTGGACCTCTCCCCCCTTAACAAGTTCTGCCAACATGAGACCTTCGCCACTGAGTCCCCGTTCCACCTTGCACGCCGTGTCCCGAAGGGCACCTGGAAGACCGTCACGGACGCCTGGAACGGCTACCACAGTGTCCCCCTGCGTGAGTCGGATCGCCACCTCACTACCTTCATCACACCCTTCGGCCGTTGGCGCTACACCAGGGCACCACAGGGCTTCCTGTCATCAGGGGATGGCTACAACCGTCGGTTTGATGCCGTCCTCTCGGACTATGAAAGCAAGGAATGTTGCGTGGATGACACCATCCACTATGACACCGACCTGGAGCAACACTGGTGGAGGACCATCGACTTCCTGACGCGTGTCGGCCGGTCGGGAATTGTGTTGAACTCAGACAAGTTTCAGTTCGCGGAGAGGTGCGTCGATTTCGCTGGCTTCAGGGTGTCGGAATCTACCATCGAACCGCTCCCGAAATACTTGGACGCCATCCGGGACTTCCCCACCCCTGGCTCCACGACGGACATCAGGAGTTGGTTCGGCCTTGTCAACCAGGTGGCCAACTACGCCCAGTTGCGTGACACGATGGCTCCATTTAAGCCGTTCCTCAGCCCACGCTGTGTGTTCCTATGGTCCCCCGTTCTGGAGGAGGCCTTCCAGGCGTCCAAGCAAGCCATAATGGAGGCCATCCGCGAGGGCGTGGAGATCTACGACATGCAGAAGCGTACCTGCCTCCACCCTGACTGGTCCATGCGTGGCATTGGCTACCTCCTGCTCCAGCAACATTGTCACTGTGCCTCGGGCATACCGGACTGCTGTCCAGGTGGATGGAGGATCACCCTCGCGGGTTCGCGTTTCCTGTCCCCTGCGGAGCAGCGCTATGCGGCCGTCGAGGGAGAGGCCCTAGCTGTGGCCTGGGGTCTGGAACAGACGCGGTACTTCACGCAGGGGTCCAACAACCTCGTCGTGGTCACCGACCATAAGCCGTTGGTGAAGATCTTTGGCGACCGTACGCTGGATGAGATAACAAACTTGCATCTGTTTAGACTCAAGCAGCGCACCCTCCCATGGCGCTTTGACATTGTGCATCTGCCTGGCAAGAGCAACTATGCCGCTGATGCCACGTCGAGGCATCCTTCCCCCTCGGGCTCAGCGAACGGCCTCTCATTGGGGCTGCCGAGCGGGCCTGACGCCGTGGAGTCAGCACTCATGGCCTCCATCCGCGACGACGCACGGGAGCTCGGAGCCGTCTCTTGGCCCCTCCTCGCACGGGAGACAGCGGCTGACGGATGCCTCGGCCACCTCCTCCAACTCATCGAGCAGGCACCCTCCTGATTGACGTAAATGACCCTGCCCTGGCGAGTCTGTCATCGGTCTGTGAGTCCGTCTACGCACAGGACGGCGTCCTGCTCTATCGGGACCGCGTCGTGGTCCCCCCATCCCTCCGTGGGAGAGTCCTTCGGCATCTCCATGCCGCTCACCAGGGGACCTCAGCGATGGGGCAGCATGCCCGAGCCATAGTTTACTGGCCCGGGATGTCCGGGACATTCAGGCCACCAGGGACGGGTGTGCACACTGCAACCGTAATGCTCCGTCACAGGCGGCTACACCCCCCCTGCCGTCCTCACCCCCGTCCACGCCATTCGAGGCGGTGTTTGCTGACTTCTTCGACTATGGGGGCCGCCACTACCTAGTTGTCGGGGACCGTCTCTCGGGCTTGGCTTGGTAGAGAGCTCTACGGCGGGTACTGCCCTGGCGGGCTCAGCTGGCCTGGTCCAACACCTCTGTTCGTTCTTCGCCACCTTCGGCGTGCCGGAGGAGCTCTCGAGTGACGGTGGTCCGGAATTCAAGGCGAGCCACACTGAGGACTTCCTCCGCTTATGGCACGTCAAACACCGTGTGTCGTCCGTTAGCTTTCCGCAGTCGAATGGGAGGGCGGAAGTTGCGGTTAAGACCGCTAAGCGCCTCCTGATGTCCAATACCGGCCCGTCGGGCGGCCTTGATCAGGACCGCTTCCTGCGTGCTATGCTGCAGTTGCGAAACACGCCTGACCCCGACTGCAACCTCTCGCCAGCGCAGATCATCTTCGGCCGCCCCCTTCGTGGCTCGCTCTCCTTCGTGGCTCGCTCTCCTTCGTGAACCACCTCGAGAAGTTCTCGAACCCGCACATCCGCCTGCTATGGCGCGAGGCATGGGCGGCGAAGGAGGACACCCTTCGGACCCGTATGTCCCGTACCACCGAATCTCTGGGGACTCACTCAAGACCGCTCCGCCCATTGGCACTCGGCGAAAGGGTATTCCTCCAGAACCAGCAAGGCCCGAGCCCCCACAAATGGGACAGGTCAGGGGTCGTGGTGGAGTCGCCGGGCCACGACCAGTATCGGGTCAGGGTTGACGGTTCGGGACGTTTGACACTGCGCAACCGGCGTTTCCTCCGTGCCTATACGCCGGCCACACCCTGCGCCCGTGAGCAGCCGGCTGCGCCGTTGCCGCCGCCCCCGCTGCTCTGGGCCATCAGCCCCCACCTATCCACCCGGGCTGGCCGACGCCCCAGGGGATTGCTCAGCGGCCGGCTGTTGGACTCCGCGACTCGGCTATGGGCGCTTCCCCACCGGCACCTGCCGGTGAGGCGTCCTCTGACCTCACCGTTCCTACGGGTGCCTTCCTGGGCGCACCGGTGCCGCAGTCGCCGCCGACGCTGCCCCAGCCTACTCGGCCAGGCCGCGTGAGGAGGCCGCCTGCACGTTACGAGCCCGAGTCCGGCAGCTGGATTTAGACCGTTAATCTATTCCGGCCCATAGTTTTCCGGTCTGGGGGGGATGAAGAGTTTATCGCCGGCCACTAGAGGGCAGCGTCACTGCTGTCGCTGTCCGGGTATGCCGTGCTTTGACCCAGAAGTGCCGAGCGGCCATTTTAGTTCACATGTTGTTCATTCACTCCGCCTCGAGTTGAGACGTTCATCCACTCACTCATGTAAGACTGTTTCCACTATTGTTTGGTGTGTCTTTACTCTATGTAATTGAATATATGTGTATTGGTCATGACATGCATGTATGTAGTACTTTGTCAGCTTATCCTGCGGCATTGCTCTGTTTCAGGGTGTCGTCATCCTTGTCATTAAAGTACCGAAACTGACATTGAGGAGTGTGTTTCTTCAACCTGCTATCACCCTGAAGTGAAATAAGTATTTGATACTGGATAGTTTTTGTTTTATTCTTATCTAAAAATAGAGGGATGATAGCTCATATATGAGACTACAAAGGTCTTTTATTTTGAAACTCTACATCAGATTGTCCAGATTCTCTCTGAGTGACTAGATGGGGTCACCTGCTATCACCCTGAAGTGAAATAAGTATTTGATTGACTTCGAATGACTCTTTGATTATGGACGGTTTCCATTAAATAATAATCAAAATATAGATGGACAATAGATCTAATTTGAGATTTTAAACAGCATACATTTTAAATGGTGCTTCAGAAAGTAATGTTATTTTAGGAGTGTTGTGAGATGGTGTCAACACCAATTGAAATGAGTCACCCAGTGGAAATGTCAGATATGTCTTCATAACTGTATCCTTACATTTTACATTCACTCAGTTATAATGTGGTAGTTATACGTAGTAGGCCTATGTTTTAAATTAGTATTGATCACATTATATAGTACATATTTCTTAATTTAAGCTCCAGTATATATGAATATGTTTGGTGTGTTTTTTAGGTATATTTGTTTTTGACCGAGTAAACGCTTTTATTTTGAAGGCAGTTTTTACAGGCCTCTACTGTAATGCATAGGATATTCGCGCACCGCAATCAGACGTGCGGGGTGGCTTAACTGTGTTTTCCGAAGTGGGGGCTGGCTTGACCGCAGTCTGTTTACCCAGTGTTTCATGACATGAAACGTTTAATTTCATGTTGCTATGTGTTTTTAACGCATATTAAAAAACGGGGACATTTCCGGGGACAGTTTCAACCGGGGACAGGGCAATACAAACGGGGACTGTCCCCGGAAAACGGGGACGTCTGGTCACCCTACCTGTATGTCCTCTCCTTGAAGAAAGCAGCAAGTCACATTAACATTAGGCATCTGAATGCTTTCACAGCCTCTGACTTTAGTGTTTAAAGCACCCAGATATTGTTCTAAACTGTATTAAAGTAAACAGGTATTATCTTGAACTGTATTGAAGTGAACATGTATTATTTGGGACTGTTTAAAGTAATCCTATATATCTAAACCTTCTTACACTCCATGACCCAGAGACCCTGACACACACACATACACCTACTGTCTCCATGCAGCACACACACATAAACTCCTTAACCCAGATATCAGCAACACACACACATATGCCTCTGCTTATCAGCATGCACACACACACACATACACTTTCCCTCACTAACACACACACGTGTTCTTTTTTCAAGGTTCCTTGCTGGGAATAATCCCAAGCACCAATATATCTGTGTACAATGTTTGATTATTTAGAAAATAATAGTTTGTGTGAAACCTTCCCTGGGAAATTAAAGGAGTTGGGTCCGGTGGAAGATAAGAAGTGGATCTCCGCCCCAAATATGTCCATATATACTGTTGTTTCTTCATGCAAAATGCCCCCTGTTTCTGACTGGCTGGTCCCGATATCTGTATCGCACGGCAATAGAGCGGGGAGCCCGGAGTGTTCTGTTTCAGGGCACTCTGTATTTCGTATTGTGTTTTTTACTGTATTAAAATCAGATTATTGTTATAACTTTTATGCCGGTGTTTTGAACTCTTTTATCAATCTGACCAGGCTCATCTAAAGGACGGTGCGGAGCAGAGGTGGGCTTTAAGCCACCACTATTGTGTTTGCTCCTACATGTTTCATGCTCTTTTATTTCCCTCAGGGACAAGGCTGTCCTTATACATTCTTTTGAATATTTGATCATGCATAAAAAGACCTCCCCTTGTCTTCTTGCTTCAGTTCTTCCAAGGCCTTTGCTCACTTCTCTCTCTTGCTCAGGTGCGGTGTATGCGGAGGTGCGTCGGCCCTGCAGAGTCATGATTCTGGTGAATCCTCACAGCGGCCGGGGCCAGGCTCTGCAGCTCTTCACCGGCCACGTGCAGGGCATGCTGACCGAGGCCGCTGTTCCCTACACGCTCGTCATCACAGGTCAGTAGTGTTCACACACATGCAGATCTTTATTGTTCATGTATTTAACCCGCGCTTTCTCAAAGTCACCCTGCCATGACAAAGGGATTAAACCTTTAACCCCAGCGTGGGACAATTACGCAAAGAGCTCACACACACACCCCCCAGGTGAAAAGCGTAAACATTTCAGTGAATACTTTATTGCAATTTTTTGTTTTCTGAAACTCTATACTGAAAGTGAAAAAAATTGTGAACAATTGCATTGTTTTGTAAAATATGCTTCATTTGAATAGATCTCCAGAAAATAAATCTGCAAGTTCCTGTTTCATTTTGTTGAGATATTAGAGTCAAATGTTATATTAATAAGACTATTAATGATATGAACAAACCACTGTCTACAAATCCTCAACATTTAGATAAGAGTCAAACTGGAAAGTTTTGTTCAATTGAACATAAGTGCTACTAAAGTGGAGATTTTTTCGCTCAACAGCCATTAAAAATATGTATCATAAAAGTCGATACACATTATCTAATGCTATCTGTTGGTGCATTTAGAAGAGACATACAGACCCAAATAGACAAATGGACAAAGTGTAGTGAATCAAACAGCAAAAGTGTATCTCACATGATTTTTCCCCTTATCTAAAAAAAATACTTTATGAATGCAAATAGCCCATAATCTCAAAATTGATCATTGGATGAAAACAACTGTATTTGCCTGTAGTGTCCTCCTTAAACTAACCTTCATTTTAGGAAGCAATTTCACTCTCTGCAGTTATGATGCATTATTTGTGTCATACATTTACAGGCCACATCTGCAGGCACCCGAGCTCTGATGTACATCCAATCTCCATCTCAGTCGCCCCAGCTGCTCCACATTCTGTGTGAAAAGCTGGTGGTTCTTTGTGACGTTAAACAGTGTGTTGGTTAAGGTCGTCAGAGATGCTGAACTTAAACTGACCCCCCCTGAATACTAAGGATCAGAAACAAAGAAAAACAATGTTCAGCTTCATTTTCATGCACTTTTTACTCCAACCCCAGGATTTGACAGGTTAGAATTCGCTCACCCAGTGTTAGTTTGGCAGAGCATGAGCTGAATATCTGATATTTACCAAAGAGAGATTAAATATGACAGCCAAAAATAGGGAGAATCTGCGTTTGTTTATTTTACAAATTGAGTGCTGATGCGTATGCAGGCTCTTGTGCCGACTCCTGGGACTTAAAGAAAGGTCAGCAGCTGGATGGTGATGAAAAAAGGCGGAGTAATTAGTTACTGACGTTGACTTAGGGCGAGCAGAGCCCTAAGGAGGGGGGAAAATATGGGTCGCTGAGGGCCTTCAGTGGTCAGATACCGTAGCCTGTGAGGAGCGACCATGAGTGGATTAACTGGCACAACCCATTTATCCTGCACGCAGCTCCTTGATGAATGTATCACACAGCGTTTGCCCGAGGAAGGACACGTTCCAGTGGAGGCGCCTCTTGTGTCAGCATGTACCTTTTACATAGTGTATGAAGCATCCAGAGCACCAAGCAGCATCTTTACCCTGAATAACCTGAGAGGGAGCCGGTAGAGATGGAGGGAAATGGTAGATTGGACTGAAACTTACCTGAGATTTCTAGTCTTCACCAACAGTATGTATCGTCTTAACAGAGTGCAATTATCAGCCATAGTCTTTGCAGCTTAAAGAAGAATCAACAGTGGATATGACAATTGGATTACATGAAAACCAGGGCTGTGGAGTAACTAGTGACACACAACGGTATTGCGTAATTAAATAAATAAATGTAGTTTGTTACAGTTACTGAGAAAAAAGTAAATCACAGACAAAAAACAATCATTCTGTTGCTTTATGTTTGCCTTCTTTTTGACACGCAGGTCAGCAAGGACCAATCTGAGTGCAAAAGCATTAAGGAGCTTTATCTATGTTCTCTTTTTACATCCATTGTCTCTACGCCCAGACACACGTAATTAATTTGACAGTATGCCATAACAATTTGAGTGTTGTTGTTCATTGGTTAGTTTGTTTGATTTACGCCGCCTTTTGTCTGTCATGCCTGCAACCACCTGGCCAAGCCTTATGTGGAGGAATGAATTTCCTCCACATTCATTGACATTACTTTGACACAGGGTAACTAGCAATCTAAATCCTATTCCATTTCAAAAGTTATCTTCCCAACCACAAGCGGCCCCTGTCTTTAGGGTTTAGGTGTGTGTTTGTCTGTGACCCCTTGAATAAGGAAGTAGCTGGGAAGCACAGCATCAACCCAAGCAGGTTAAAAGGGCTGAGTCAGCTGAGTCGTGCAGTTACTCCCTAACTGCCTCTGTCTGTCAACACAGCACTGCCTCGCTGCCTCCAGCCTCCACACAGCAAACAAACAGCAGCAACAGAGGCCCGGGAGAGTGTAAAGGGGGGAGACAGGTAGAGGTTGAGCAAAGTGAGAGGAAAGGAGAGGGAAGTTGTTTTTATTTCTGTCCTGTACTCGATCGATACCTGAGCTAGAGCGGAAACATATATCCTTAGTGATGGCAGTGCGTCGATACTTGCTAACTTCTTTGCTGTCTGCCTTCCTGTCTCTGTCTTTCACTCTCTTTAAAGCTGACTTCCTCTACACACACTCACACATACACTCTGGGGAGTCTCGGTTGGTAGGACTGTAGACTTTAATGCTGGCAGGATGAGCCCCTGCAGAGACCCACTCAAGGACGCCGCCAATAAATCTAGGCTGAACAAATAGCTCAGTTCTCCGCCGGCGCATTAACAAACACTCACATGCACGGACACACACACAAACACACCGAACACATGCATCCAGTCAATGCACATACACACGATATTTGTCAGTCCCAGATGTTTGCAGGGCGGCTCAGCTGCCTCTGAGTTGTTGAGTAGCCGCTGGTTGGGCTAATGTGATGTGTTTGGCCTTATACGGGGAAATGGAATCTCTTTTCCGCCTAATCTCCCTGATACCCCCCAGAGACCGGCGATGAAGGCAGCTCGCCTCTTTCTCTGCCATTGCCCTTGTTTTTATTGTTTGTCCTCTCTCTTGCACTTGTTTCTTTCCTCAGAGCACCAGAACCATGCACGGGAGCTGGTGAGGAAGGCCGACCTGTCGCAATGTGACGCTCTGGTTATCATGTCTGGAGACGGGCTGCTTTTTGAGGTGCTTTGACTCTACCTAGACTAATGTGATATGATAATCAATATAGAAGATGTAAAATGCCAGGAATAAAACACATGAAAAAAATAAGTTATTTGAAATACAAGACAAATTGGTATCTTTATTCATTTATTTTCATTTACATATGATATTCGATGTATTTATTGTTGGATTGATAAAATCTATACACGCTAGACAGTAAAATATAGCTAACAATTTAGCATTATACCTGCACAGCTTTTTCATCTGTATTTGTACATTTTTTGGTAATTATTATTATTTAGTTTAGCATTTTTAGAACCCTTGTTGTATTTGTTTTTAATAATTATATACCATGGTCTGAGAGAAATTGTTATTCAATATTTCATGTAGAGATTGCAGAAGTAGATTTGTTCTTCTTTTTTTGGCTTCTATTTGTGCATTTCAAACCTGACAGTAAATCAATCAAATACAGAGGAAAATCATATGAGCTCGTTTAGCCGTATATTTTTTTCAGAATAGGCTTGGATTTTTTATTTATTTATACTATGACAAAATAGCTCAGTGTCTGGGATTCCAGCACCTGCAATCTCTGCCATCTCTTAATAATATTACGTTTTAAGTCTTACATTTTCTTCTAATGATGGCTTATGTTTCTTTTACTGTTGACGTACAATATATTTAGTGATGATAATGTCATTGAGTTTTCTCATAACTCAATGACATTAGGAATTTATCATTCTTGAGTCCAGATGGTTCCCATTCATTATTTTACATGACACAAAACAACTGTAGCTCTCAAAGAAACACATTTAATCTTAACCTCTTATCACACACAGACACTACTTTCCATTAGGCTCATGATATGTTTCTGTTTGTTCTTGTTCATCCAGGTGATAAATGGCCTGATGGAGCGGGAGGACTGGCAGGAGGCCATCCAGACCCCTCTGGGTATTCTGCCAGGTGGCTCCGGCAACGCCCTGGCTGCCTCTGTCCACCACTACTCACAGTGAGTCAGTCCGTTAATGAGTCATTTAAATGCATGGACTAAGAGTTCAGGAGAACAACCACACTCTGCCTTAAAAAAAAGAACGATTTATCTCCTTTCGCTGTAATTATGCCAAAGGCTGACTGGGCACATCACCTCTCAGGAGGGAGGAGAGACAGCGGAGCAAAAACTGGAACTGCTTCGCTGTGCAACAGAGGTCATTCCAGGCCGCTGATAACTCTCAAAGGAATGATGTAATGGGTTTAAAAACTTCCACATTATGAGCGATTATATTCCAGAATACAGCGGTGAAACCAGTTGTGGTCCAGGTTTTCATCTCCATCTGCTGGTTGGCAGTGGGCACAACGTCAATTAAAAAAACTATACAGTATCTATGCTGCTCTACAGCAGCATAAGGTGTGGGCAGAATTTAAACATTACTGTGGTCATGGTTCCCAATTATTGTCACAGAAATAGTTACTGAAAACTAGTTGGGTATTATTCACTTTTGAACCAATATCATTAGCCAACAGTTTCTCCAAGGTACCGAAAATGTGTAACAGACATAACTTGAAAAAGTACTCGGCAAATCCAACTAATAATTTGGTCGGTACCCACAAAAGTTTGGTTCCCAACCCCAGTGATTACACATTTACATGATGTTTGGTTCTGCCAATCTAATAGCGTCTAATATCTTTATGGTATTGGTGTGCTGTTTGTTGATAACAGTCCACTTAGCATATTAAGATATGAGAATGGAGTTGGAGTTGAGAGACAAAGTCTAGGATGGGATCCGAAATATCCAGGTTGAAGCTTATTTTAAGCTTATTGTATGCTAAATTCTCGATCGAAGATAGGCGATGGACTTTTAGATTGCATTTAGGCCAATGCGTTCCACACAGACTGTTAAACAGCAATCCACCAGAGTCTACTCAAACTTGATTGGACAATACTTCTTAGACTACAAATGGAAACTACTGTATAGTGCTTCTGACCGAATCTTCTAAAATCCCTTTGACTGAAAATTCTGCAATTCTGCAAAAACAATTTATAGTGATTACCGTCTTACGGATGGTTTCTAACTCTTGATGTTTGTAACCATCTCTCAGGTCGCCTCCAGCTTGGAACGAGGAGCTTCTGCTGAGCTGTGGCTTCATGCTGTGCAAAGGTCTTGTTGGCTCCATGGACCTGGTGTCGATCCACCTGGCCTCTAGACAGCGCCTCTTCTCCTTCCTGTCCTTGGCCTGGGGTTTCGTGGCCGACGTCGACATCGAGAGCGAGAAGTACCGCCACGTCGGAGCCATTCGCTTCCTGATGGGCACCCTGGTGCGTCTGGCCTCCCTCAGAGTCTACCAGGGCAGGTTGGCGTATCTTCCAGTTAAAGAGGCGCCAACACTTCCAATAGGGAGCATCAAGTCTAACCAGCCTCCCTCCACCCCTCAGCATCAGTCGCTCTGCTCCTCCCTTCCCTGCCGACTCATCCCCAACACCTCTCCGAACCAAAACTCTCGACACAATCACAACAGCACAAATTCCAACCACAACACCCTCACCAACTCCTCCAACAACGCTATCACCACCAAGAGACCGGAGACTCAGAGCGACGGAAAGACCAGAGCACCGGAGGACTCTCTTCTCCCCGGGCTCGATCAGCCAATACCAGACAGCTGGACGGTCGTCAAGGAGGAGGACTTTGTCTTAGTGCTGGCTATTTACCAGTCCCACCTGGCCGAGGATCTGTGGACAGCGCCGGGGGCGATGGCGGACGACGGGGTGATTCATCTGTTCTATGTGACAGCAGGAATTTCCCGTCCAGCCCTCTTGCGGCTGTTCCTCGCCATGGAGAAGGGCGGCCACTTGGCGTGCGGCTGCCCCCACCTGGTGTATGAGAAGGTGAAGGCCCTGCGGCTGGAGCCCGTCTCGCCACAAGGCATGATCACTGTGGACGGGGAGATGGTGGAGTACGGGCCAGTTCAGGCTCAAATCCACCCAGGACTGGCCAAATTCATTTGTGGATGAGCTGAGATTATCTTGATCTTTTTCTGCCTGTAGAGCTTTTTAGTCTGGCCTTTTATACTCAGTGCCAATTCCTCTCTGTATGCTGTGTTTTCAGAAGTGCCAAAGACATTTTATCAGCCTCTGGAAATTCCTCTATTTTTCTACAGAAGTAACTCGTCCTATTTTTATGAACCCCCTCCCGTCCCCTCTTTCTGGCAATGTTTGATTCAGGGTCAAAGCCATGTATGGTTGTTCTGGCTGCTGGCTGGTCCCAGCTTAGACAAACGGTTAGAGATTGTGTGAGTGTTCATCACCAATGGAGATCTTTATGTATGTGTGTGTGCACTCGTGTGTGTATGTGTGAGATTGTGCATGAGGAGCTTTGGCTTTTGCATTGTGCACTCTGCTGTCGGTCCTCATAAGCATTGAACATGTGAAGAGAAGCACATTTCCCCGTCCTGGGAGGCTCGCGGAGTAGCCACGCCCCCTGTTCCACTGTGCTACCCCAGGCCGACAATCTCTCTCCTGGGCAAACCGCTCTGACAGCCCCCCCCTCCTCTTCCACCACCACCCTTAGCCTGGTAAAGTGGAGCTTTCTTACTAAGGAGATATTATAAATCCCCCAGGGATATGATGTTGAAACATCTTTAATCTTTGCATAGCTTATATTACTCAAACAATAGCAAAACCAGTCACACACACACGATATAAGAAGGTGGAGCAGAAAAAAACATGGCCAGCTGTGGTTACACCTCCACTCCCTGTCCTGTGCGCTCCTGCTTCATCTGCAACCATCATCAAACTGCCTCCACTCGCACATAAACACACGCTTTCTTTCCCCCATCCCCCCTCCTCCTACTGTATGTAATGTACAGCTCCACACATACACACACTCATACACACACATTCCCTTGCATCTCTGCAGCACTTAGCGAGGGGGAGGGGCATGGTCTGCTACTGTGCATATCCCCTCTCCTCTTGCCGTCTTAAGATTGTACGCTCCCTCCCTCCTTTGGTTAATGAGCCATCAGCACCTAATGTGCCCTTAATAGCGAGCTTTACATCTGCAGAAGCGTGCACAATAAGAGTTGCTAATCACACGAAAGCTTTAAAGTGAGTTTTAGCGTTTCACACTTACTGGACCGGTTGAGTAAAGTAGAGAGAGCAGGGTTTCACACCGGGTCTCTCAGCGTTGCATATTGAGAGACATCAGATCAATGTGTGCTGGACGGAGTCAAGTGCTCTGTTTCACTGTGTGGCCTTTTTCTCTGGTTTGCTGGTGATGCGGTGGTGAGCTTTATCATCAGTTTCTCCCTATACCCTCACACACTAGTTTATTTCAGGTCACTACATCCCCACCCACAGGTATGGTGCAGCTATCATCACTTTCAGAGAGGGAGCTGTCGTTCCTGACCTTAAAAACAAATCCTGTTCTTCTGTTAAGAAAGGAATATCAGCAAGGTTAAGGAGACATTATGAATGCTGATGCATAACAACAAAATCACCTCTCATGTTGAAGGTGAAAAACAAAATGTTGACGGGGCAAATGGGGTTCAAATAAATGCTTATTACCAGCTTTTAAAGGTTTTAGATGGTGGAAGGTTTTAGATGGTGGAAGGTTTTAGATGGTGGAAGGTTTTAGATGGTATAAGGTTTTACACTGTCATCCTGAGTGCAATACAGTCAATTCTGGAGCTTGTGAAGTAGTGTCTGCAAGAAGAAGCGTAAATGCTAACATTTCTTCACATCATAAATTCAGAGAGAACCTTCCTTCTTTAGGGACTGTATGAAAATGATTGTGTTGCCTGTCAGGGCTGGACAATATGGCCAAACATTTTTATTAAATGCCACATGACTAAAGTATGATTGAAATAGCATTTTATTAGAACTTCATGTAAAAAGATAATTGAGTGATATTGACAAACTGAATTATGCACATTCAGTTCTTGCAGCAATAGATCCTAATATGTGTCCCACGACAAGGCTTCAGCTGCAAACAGGTGCAAGCCGGTGTTAGACACCAAGCAGGTAAAGACGAAGTGAAAAAAGAAGATTACGCAAACTGATCTCTTGACTCCTTCAAAAACGAAACTTTTTGTCAATATTTTAAAATAAATCTAAAGCAAATCCTACATTTTTCGTGTCGTGGAAAGCAACATTTGGATGAGTCCAATTTATTTTATAAATGAATTGCCCAGCCCTGCAATACATTCTTACTGGTATTCTCCTGCTGGTAAAGTTAGAAACTATTCAAATCTGCTGAGATTATGTAAAATCAATCACTAATAACCAGAAGTCAAACTAAGTAATTGTTTAACAAGTAAATCGTAAATCCCAAATCCTAATTATTTGAGCTTAAAATGAAACTGGTCAAAAAAAGACATTATATTTGTGATTACTTTCTACTCGATTCCACACCTCGGCTAACAACTACATATAAAGAACCATGTTATTATGCTTCCTTATACCTGACACACCGACGCTGTTAGCTACTGCAAAGATACACATTTTTCTTCCTCATATGGCAACATCCATCATGACTCACAACGTGCACAAAAGCCTTAATTTTGTGCACTTAATTCTCTTCCCTTGATAACCCATAACATACTTGAAGTTGACCTCTACCATCTTCACTGCAGTGCCGATTTTTTGCCTGTTACTTGATTTTACATTCTGAGACATTATCATATACTACTGTGTGAGTCAGCTTCAACTCATGTCCAACATACTGTACCTCCTACCATTACTGTATCCTCAGCAAAGTGATCCAGGTGCTTTGAATGCATTTTCATGTTCTCACTCATGAACTAGCAGCTGCCCACGTGCACAGTTCATTACTAAATGTATGAAGTACATCTCATATGGGTAGGGATTAGCTATGCAAATGCCTTGTCATGGCTGCAGATATCTGGAGTTAGGGCGTCCTCTGCTGGACCGCTCATAAATTCACAATTGTATCTTATGTTGTACAATGCAATCGACTGTTTCTTGCTTCTTATATTTACAGTCATTAATGGATTAGATTTATTTAGCTCAGCCGCAGGAGACATTGAATTCCTCTTACAAATGTTCAATAATGGAATCCAATATCCAGCTTATTGTAATTAAGAGAAATGGACTTGATAGAAACACTGCTGCAAATATAAACAACAATGCTACATCTCAGAAAAAACACTACTGTTAACTTATGCTACTATACTGTTAAATTGTTATTTACTGCTTTAATGTAACCGCATTTTTTTTTTAACACAACTGTTAATACTTGTCTTTGTCATTACTGTCATTGCATTTTATGAACGAGTTAAGAAGGTTGCGTCACAGGCCTGAACCCATGACGTTTTTATGGTACTGAATATGAAATGCTTTCTGTACTCTATGTTTAACTCAAAAACTGCTGAGTTCACTTAATCTAAGACTGAACATGACCGAAAGGTGATGAATGTTTTATTTTCTGTTAATGAGGTGATATAAACTGGGTTTTATTGCAGTAGATAAGGTGATCCAAGTGGAAGGATTGAATGTTTTATTCTGTCCTCGTTAGTTGAAGAAAATGTCCGCCAGGTATTTGCAGCTTTCTACTTTGAAGTAAATAGGGAAACAAAGTTCTCTAAAGAGTGCCTTAGCCATTACCCAAGACAGCAGATAGGTGGTGCACAGAAAACAAAAACCAAGGGAAACATATTTTAAAAAATAAATCATTTAGCACATGATCTTCCTTATTATAGGCAGGATTCTGTATGATATGTAAAGCTTTCTGTAAAAGAGTTGACTGGTTTTAACAAGGTTGTTATTGCATATTTTTAACTGGCTGTTGACGTCCAGGTAGTATTCATCTTTTATTTTGTTGTAATTCTTTGTTCATTGACTTATTTTTTTAAAAGACCAATACAAATATTCATATGAAAAATATGCTTCTTTGTGTGCTGATTATAATCAAGGTGTTTCAAATAGGAGTTACATCTGAGTGTTGGCAGTGGATTTTCACATTTGGGAAATAAAAACTTTGTCCCGGGTTGTCGTACTCCCACCAAAATCACACTGGTGTTTGCTGTCCCCCTGTAGTTTGTGCACACAAAATCATTTTACTCTGGGCTCAGCAGGTGAAAAACTAAAGAGGGGCTTCCACATGTGGCAGACCAGGTGTTGGTGCTGCCAGATTTGGTTATACTATAACTTTGTCCAAGATAGTCACACTGTCACCAAAATCCCACCAGTGTTGGTTGTTTCCATCTTATATGAGAAGGATTTCCATCTCCGGCAGAGCAGATTTTCTATCCTGAGGATAATTTAGTTGGAATGCTGTTTCAACTATCTGTTCTTCTACGCACAAAATTCTTTATTCTTATTATTCCGCCCGTTATTTTGCCGGTCTTCTTCTCCCGCATTGAACATCGCAGAAACTCCGTTCGAACATCAAAACGTTCAGCTCGATCGGAAATCGATTGCTATTACTTTTATCATTCATAACTTTCATAATTCCAGAGATACATCCCATAATTAATCACATTTTTAACCATTGAAGTCAATGGAGGAAATCTTCAGACTTCAACAAATCTTCATGCTACTTCAACTGCTAACTGTTCATTCATACTTTCACTCAGAAACCTCATTCCAACTTTAAAATGTTACACATCTTTCTGACATTATTCGTGTAACACAACTGTTAAATCTGATTCTTACTTTTAGAGATATTAAACATTGTTCAGACCTTGGTAAATAGGCTTTCTTCAGATTTAAACAGTGCGTGATGTCACAGCTAGAGTGTAGGAAATATTGAAATTTGCCTTCATATTTATTTTTAAAACTGCCATAATTCCCAAACCCTACATTCCTGGGACATAATTTTTCATGACAAACATAGGAAAACATCTCGTAGCTTGAAAAATGACAAATAATTAAACAAAATGCCTCTTGAGGGTATGAAGTGACAAAAACTTTCAACATGTCTCCATTAAAGCCCATTGTAATTTCAGGCTGATATTTCCTCACAGCAGCAGACGCACACCTTTAGTTAATCTGCCAAAAAGGCCACATTATTGACCCCGGAAGTACACAAAAAGCACACTTCAGATACTCAAGGTCCTTGAGATGCTTCACGCTTTGAAATTTCACAGATATTTGTTACGGTTCTTCATCAAAACGTTTACATGTAACAGGTTTATCTCTCATTCAGAACAATGGAAACCTATGATCTCTGGACACCTCGTTAGCTCAAATATAAACACCTGTGTCATGGAACACGATGTCAAAACTCCAACTGACATGCTCAGAGCAGCAGACTTCAGATAATGGTTAATGGTCCTGCCCTCAACAGCTCTACGTCAATTATGGGTTGTCATATGCCGTTTCCATGGAAGATCAAGAGGGTGATCAAGAGAAGAGAGAGAGGGCGATCAAGAGAAGAGAGAGAGGGCGATCAAGAGAAGAGAGAGAGGGTGATCAATCAATCAATGTTTATTTATATAGCCCAATATCACAAATGTTACATTTGTCTCAGTGGACTTCACAGTTTGTACAGAATATCAGTTTGACAATACAGCACCCTCTGTCCTTAGACCCTCACATCGTACAAGGAAAAACTTCCGGAGAAAACCCACAGTTTAAAGGGAAAAATGGGAGAAACCTCGGTGAGAGCAACAGAGGAGGGATCCCTCTCCCAGGACGGACAGACGTGCAATAGATGCTGTGTGTAAATTGAAAAGATAATACATTTGCAACATAGGTAGACCAAATGTTTGGAAATGCATGTGTCTATAATAAGAAGATGAATCCACGAGGATATCCATCCAGGACTTATGATCCAGGACCACAGCCACGACTCAAGATCCAGGGCTCGCGATCCAGGACACAGGACCGCAGCAACAGGATCATCCATGACTCCAGATCCCGGCGTATATAGACACCAAAAAGAAAGACATTTGGGGAAGCTGGGTTAATCGGAACATGAGAGTACACAGGTATAGACAGAGAGAAGGAAGAAGTAAGATGTCCCCCGACAAACTAAGCCTATATCAGCAAAACTAGGGGCTGAATCTAATCAGCCCTAACTATAAGCTTTATCAAAAAGGAAGGTCTTAAGCGCACTCTTAAAAACGGATAGGGTGTCTGCCGCCCGAACACAAACTGGAAGCTGATTCCACAAATGTGGAGCTTGATAAGAAAAGGCTCTGGCTCCCATTGTACTTTTAGAGACTAGGAACAACCAACAACCCTGCATTCTTGGAACGCAATGCCCTAGTAGGACAGTAGGGTATAATGAGTTCTTTAAGGTAAGATGGCGCCTGCCCATTAAGGGCTTTGTAGACGAGAAGAAGAATTTTAAATTCTATCCTGTGTTCTATAGGGAGCCAGTGTAAGGCAGCCAGAACAGGAGTATTAAAGGTATTCTGATTTTTGCCTTTTTAGAAAACTTTATTTTAAATAGTTTGAACAATACATATAAAAACACTGCATTGAAAATACACATAATACGAGTAATTAGTCCTAATTTCCTTGGAGGGAGAGGTGCTCAATGACTGAGATGTCCTAATTTTAATTTGTAAAACTTGTAAATAAATAAATAAAAAGGTATTTTTGAACTTGAAGATCCGAAGGGGTCTTACATTAAAGACCCCTTTGGATCTTCTGGGATGAGAAGGTATCAGCTGGGGGACCGGAGCCTGTCATCCAATCAGAACAGAGCCCCTTAGATCAATTCAAGTCAGTGTACCAACCACCCAGATCCCCCCACCCCAAATACTCTGTGAGACTGGCTGCATGCTTGATATGAAGGTAAAGAAATGTTAGGAACTTGTCAAAAGCAAGGAATAAGCAGTCAGAGATATTCAAGTTTAAAAATACCTTTTCATTTATTTATTAAAAAGTTGTACAAATTCAAATTAGGACATCTCAGTCATTGAGCACCTCTCCCTCCAAGGAAATTAGGATGAATTACTCATGTATTATGTGTATTTTCAATGCAGTGTTTTTATATGTATTGTTCAAACTATTTAAAATAAAGTTTTCTAAAAAGGCAAAAGGACATCTCCTTCCTTTTTTAAACCTGCTGAACTTCAATTGAAGTGCAACAACAGCAGAGGAAGACAGCACGAGTGTTGGAAACTACAGGAAGTAAATCCAAACAGATATTTAAGTTTGAATTCTTTATTTGAAAAAGATTGTGTCCAGTGTTATTGGAGGGAGTCCAGCCACTCCTCAGGGCTCCTCCCTCCAGCAGGAGCAGGGCAGTATCGGGGCTCCTCTCCTTCTGAGGAGCAGTGATGAGGAGGAGGAGGAGGAAGAGGAGGGGGCGGAGGAGGAAGAGGGAAAAGGGACGGGGTGGCAGGAAAGGGCTATTCTTCTTCCAGGGGCCGCATCTCTTGGTAGCGGTGCCGTGCCAGGGCCAGGCAGGGGCTCCTCTGCTCGGGGCTCCTCTCCTTCAGGCTGAGGAGCGGACAGCAGTCCGCCGGGTTCCCCCCCAGCGCTGTGACCCCCGATGCGGCTTGTGTCTCAGCCAGCTCCCTGGTGTTGGAGGTGAGGCGCGGGGCTGCCCTCCTGTTGTCACTGCGAACCCTGACAGCTTGATGTGTGGGCTTAAGCTGCAGCTCTGAATAACCAACCTGAAAACGGAGGGCCTGCCTGCGATCCATTGTCCTGAAATCACATCAAAAACATGTCAGAAGCTAGCAGTCAAGCACTTCACAAGTACATGTGAAGTACAGCAGTTAGTTAGCACAAAGCCTCTCTTTGGAGAAGAAGGACCTTTGAATTCAGGTGTTAAAGCAGCCAGGAAGAAACACATAGTACACAGGATGAAATAAACAGGGATGATAAGAATAACAAGTAAATAACAGAATATGAAATAAGAAAAAACATGTAGTAACAGTCTGAATAGAAATAAGAAAAATAACATGAGTAAAAGCTGGTTCTGATTTAAAAGATAATGCTAGCCAACACTTTTTCATCAGCTCAACATTAACCTCAGAGGTCTGACTTTAAATGAAAGATACTTATTACATTATAATAATAATATTCGCCCCATGGTAGCCTTCATATACATGTTAACTTTAGTAGGCTACACTACCACATAGTAAATACGAATTACATTTAAAGTTATTACAGTACTTCATTAAATAGCCAAGTGTTTATGACCGTTAACCCTCCGTACACATCTGTGAGCGTTAACTTCATGAACATTTACGTTAGTGCAAAGTAAAAAAGCATAACGTGTTTTGCACCTAGCAAAGTGCAGGAGAAATGCATGTTGTTGCCGTAATTCTACTGTTAAGACTGTAAATGGCGGATTGGCAACTTTTAATCACGAATGGTGCATATAAATGTTAACTTCATAAACGTTAGCGCATAGCAATAAGCATCAAATGACAAGTATTTACGGATTTAAACGGCCGGTGTTCCGGATTAACTGGTTCCCCGATCAACTGGTTGACAGATGTGGAGGCGTGGCCTTCGACAGAAATACACATTTCGATCGCTTCTTCTGTCGTTTTCATAAATCTTTTGGTATATTTGGCTGGATAGGAACACTTTGATGCACATTCAGTACCCGTGTGTGAGGTTGTGGTTACAATGGCGATATCCGGACGCGAACAGCGAGGACTACAAAAAGAAAAACGAGTTGACATGGGGATGTCTGTTCAAAACGTTGCGAGCTCCAATAAATCATTTAAACCAGCTATTGTTGCCAGACTTATTTCTGAATATCGTTCTTAATGTGATACCAAGTCCATCTGAGACCTGTGTACACCTTCAGACAGCCTCCCAGTGAAGCGTACGTTGTTTACTCACAGTTTGAAAGCAGCGTGGAGAAGTCTTCAGCTGTGTTAAGTTGTGATCCGCTCGAATACATCCTTAAAACCAGCTATTGTTGCCCGACTTATCACTGAATATCGTTCCTAATGTGATACCAAGTCCATCTGAGACCTGTGTACACCTTCAGACAGCCTCCAAGTGAAGCGTACGTTGTTTACTCACAGTTTGAAAGCAGCGTGGAGAAGTCTTCAGCTGTGTTAAGTTGTGATCCGCTCGAATACATCCTTAAAACCAGTGCTGGAATTGGGCCGGTACTCACCGGTACGCAGTACCGGCACTTCTGGTTCTGACCCATGGAGTACCGGCACTTCTTGCTCAGTACCGGCATGCTGGCGGTACTCCGGTACTCATGCACCGTGCCAGTACTCAACACTCTCCCGCCGTTCTTATTATACATCCATATATATATATACAGCCGCCCGGTACTCAGTAGATGCGTCATGAGGTGCCGAACGGACATTCTCATCGCTCTAACCGCTGGAGTTTCACAGCGGCTGTCAGCTGTTTACTCCTGTCATTCAAACAGAACGTGCTGGAGAGGGGGCGGGGCTTATCTTCTCCATGTAAATACTGTGGTGGAAACGACTGTCAAAATTAACCTATTTGACCGTGATTTAATAGTAATACACGTTTCAAAATAATAATAATAATAATAATAATGCCGAAGTAACAACATACTGAAAACTGTTAGTAAAACCATGTTTTAATGCTTTACAATTTACATACCTAGATGCACGTGTGTTGTGTTTATGCAGTGCAACTCCCACCCAGTGGGTGGCTATGTAGAGTGATAGAACAGAGCAGGCATGCCCCCGAGAGAAGGAAAGCAAGTCACGTCACAAATTAGCATTTCTAAAATGTTAGCATGGATTAATAAAAGTGCAAAAAGACAGCGGTTGTCGCCGGAAGAAACTTCAAATACAGAGAATGCTGTGCCTGTGTTGGAAATTGTGTCTGATGGGGAGCTTTCTTTGGTTGATCCTCCTGCTCCAAGTTCTAGTGCATTAGCATTAGCACTAGCTCCGCCGCCTCCTCCAGAGCCTCTAACGTTAGCTGCTGCTGGCGCAACTGCCACCACCAACACCGGGCAAAGCGATGCACCTGACTGCTGGACAACGGACCAGGTGCAATATTTTTGCAAGACCAATGCATGGCTCCTTCTTAAAGATAAGAAGCTAGGATGTCGGATATGCAGAGATGTCAAATCTTTGGGAATACACACTGGACAAGGACTGAAACTGTCAACTGAATGGGGTGAGTGTGCAGTGTCTCATTTCGGTGTTGACAAGAGCAAACAACAAGCTAGCCTGAGAAAAAAAATCAAAGAACATAAAGAATCACAAGCCCATGTAAAAGCTGCTGACATCCTTACATCTGCTTCACGTGAAACTATTCAACATCAAGTGCAGTCTATGCATAAATCTGAATTAGACACCACTATCAGAGTTTTTCGAACGGCATATACAATTGGCAAACATAGCCGGCCATTCACAGACATGCCAATTGATTTGAATGTACAGAAACTGAATGGGCTGAACGTGGGCAGGGTTTTGCACTCCAATAAAACCTGTGGCGAAATCATCGACCACATAGCTCATGAGCTGAAGAAAAAAATGGCAAAAGACATTACAGAAAACCAAAGAAAACTCTGTGTTTTGGTCGATGAATCTACCACTATTAGTGGTAAAACGGTGCTTGTTGTGTGTCTACGCTCAGCATTAGCTGATGCTGAGCCCGAAACGTTTTTTTGGGAGCTGATCGAGTTGGATGGAACAACGGCTGATGACATCACAAAGGCGTTAATGGAGTGTCTTGGAAGAGATTTTAACGAGGACTTTTTAGGTCAGTGTTTCGTTTCTTTTGCATGTGATGGGGCTTCAGTCATGCTAGGGAAGAGAACAGGCGTTGCTACCCAGTTGTGTAGTAAATTCCCAAGCCTGTTTGTGTGGCACTGCTCCAATCATCGTCTAGAGCTGGCAGTTGGGGATGTGGTCAAGGAGGTCTCAGGGCTCAATCATTTCCAGATCTTTTTTGACAAACTCTATTCCTTGTTCCATGCCTCCCCCAAAAATCAGAGGCAGTTAGCGCAGTGTGCGCAAGCAGTCGGACAGCGTCTCCTGGTGATAGGGCGTGTTTTGTCCATCCGCTGGGTGGCTTCAAGTGAAAGGAGCGTCAGAGCAGTCTGGGAAAACTACCGAGTGCTTCATGATCACTTCACAAATGCTGCAAACGACACGAGCAGGGATTCCAGAGACAGAGCAAAGTACAAGGGCCTGGATGATGTGCTCACATCTGCAACGTTTGTCAGCAATCTGGGACTGATGTACGATGCGCTCACAGAGCTCAGCGACCTCTCTCGGCAACTCCAAAAAAGAGAGATGACACTGCCTACAGCAGATAGGCTCTTAACTCGAGAAATACGAGTTTTTGAATCCATGGTCACCATGCCTGGCCCACACATGACTACAGTTCATACAGCTCTAGCTGAGAAGTCCTTCAAGGGTGTTGCCCTGCGTGAGAATGGCAGGCTTGTACAGATTCATGCAGGTCAGTTTTTCCGCAGTATGGTAGAGAATCTGAGATACAGAATGACTTCCACAACCTCCTCTCATGTCAGCACAAGAGAAATCCCATTACATGGCCGGGAGGCCCGGGACAATCAGCTAATCCAGGACATGAAAGTTATCCATCCTGGAAGTTGGCCTGAAGAGGAGTTAGACGTACAGTATGGGGACGTAGAGGTGCTACGTTTGTGCGAAGTGCTGAAAGTGGACAGAAGAGAGACTGTTCAGGGCTTTCGCGAATACAAGGAAACCAGGGCATCCCGTACACCTGCTGCCATGGAGCCTCTACTGAAAGCAGTCCGAACCATCGCTGTCTCCACTAGTGAGTGTGAGCGGGCATTCAGCTGCATGAACGATATCCTTACTGCAAAAAGGAATGCTCTCTCTGTCAGCCGACTGTCCAGCCTGGTTTTCATTAAATGTAATGGACCATCACTAGGACAGTTCAATCCGGAACAGTATGTGAGGTCCTGGCTGGCAAAGGGAAGGAGAAGTGCTGATGAAAGAGCCTGTCCAGCTCCAGCCCCTGATACTGATGTCCCCAAGGCCTTCTGGAGCCTTTTCTAACAATGTGAAGTATATTGCAAAGCAGCTCACCCAGTGAGAAGACTTTTGGCATAATGTGCCGATTTGTACAGATCCTGGAGATAGAAGGACTTCAGACCAACCAGGGAGTTATCTGATCAGCTTGGTGTTCAATGTAACTCTTTACCATGGCTCAGACTTTGTTACTTGCAGTTACAGTTTCTCATTTTAGATTGTGCAAATTTTGCATTTGTTTTTACATGTTCTTTGTTCATGCTCTTTATCATTTTTCTGAGTTGGAAAGTTAGATTGCATCATAGTTTACTTTATACATATTTGTATTCTTCAGTGGTGAAGTATATTGCAAAGCAGCTCAGCCATGTGAGAAGACTTTTGGCACTTTTTCGTTTTTCGTTTTCTGAGTTGGAAAGTTAGATTGCATTCAAAATGTACAGAAATACTTAATTTTGTTAAAGCTTTTTATAAAAAATGCTTCTGACCAGAGCTTTGTTTCCTTGTCATTAATGTTGCACACCACCAGAGGGGCTCTCACCTGAAAGGTCTCTGCTTCATGTGTCTTCAGCAGAAGATCTAGACTTTGATTGCTATATTTTCAGTTAATATTGACCTTACTGAGCTTTAGCCATATCCGCTGCCTATCATAAAAAATGTTAAGTACAGTGAACCTTTCTAAAATATACAGTAGTAAAGAGACAAACCCACCAGCATTATAGTAGTCAAATTCTTGTTTGTGGGCTGTATATATAAAATTGACTTGAAAAAGTTGCTGATTTTAGAGTACTGGCACCTTTTTCATTCCAATTCAAGCACTGCTTAAAACCAGCTATTGTTGCCCGACTTATCACTGAATATCGTTCCTAATGTGATACCAAGTCCATCTGAGACCTGTGTACACCTTCAGACAGCCTCCCAGTGAAGCGTACGTTGTTTACTCAGAGTTTGAAAGCAGCGTGGAGAAGTCTTCAGCTGTGTTAAACTGTGATCCTCTCAGGTAAACTGTGATTCGCTCAGGGTCAACTGGGATCCACCCATGGGAAAATGGGATCCGCCCAGGTTAAACTGTGTTACGACTTCTGTGGCTATCTACCAGCGATCATGTTTAATATGAAAGACACACACATATACATCCAGTGCTTGAATTGGAATGAAAAAGGTGCCAGTACTCTAAAATCAGCAACTTTTTCAAGTCAATTTTATATATACAGCCCACAAACAAGAATTTGGCTACTATAATGCTGGTGGGTTTGTCTCTTTACTACTGTATATTTTAGAAAGGTTCACTGTACTTAACATTTTTTATGATAGGCAGCGGATATGGCTAAAGCTCAGTAAGGTCAATATTAACTGAAAATATAGCAATCAAAGTCTAGATCTTCTGCTGAAGACACATGAAGCAGAGACCTTTCAGGTGAGAGCCCCTCTGGTGGTGTTCAACATTAATGACAAGGAAACAAAGCTCTGGTCAGAAGCATTTTTTATAAAAAGCTTTAACAAAATTAAGTATTTCTGTACATTTTGAATGCAATCTAACTTTCCAACTCAGAAAACGAAAAACGAAAAAGTGCCAAAAGTCTTCTCACATGGCTGAGCTGCTTTGCAATATACTTCACCACTGAAGAATACAAATATGTATAAAGTAAACTATGATGCAATCTAACTTTCCAACTCAGAAAAATGATAAAGAGCATGAACAAAGAACATGTAAAAACAAATGCAAAATTTGCACAATCTAAAATGAGAAACTGTAACTGCAAGTAACAAAGTCTGAGCCATGGTAAAGAGTTACATTGAACACCAAGCTGATCAGATAACTCCCTGGTTGGTCTGAAGTCCTTCTATCTCCAGGATCTGTACAAATCGGCACATTATGCCAAAAGTCTTCTCACTGGGTGAGCTGCTTTGCAATATACTTCACATTGTTAGAAAAGGCTCCAGAAGGCCTTGGGGACATCAGTATCAGGGGCTGGAGCTGGACAGGCTCTTTCATCAGCACTTCTCCTTCCCTTTGCCAGCCAGGACCTCACATACTGTTCCGGATTGAACTGTCCTAGTGATAGTCCATTACATTTAATGAAAACCAGGCTGACAGAGAGAGCATTCCTTTTTGCAGTAAGGATATCGTTCA